AGAAGGAATACACCAGAAAGTAAGTAAGTTGATCAGCCCTGGGAGCATAACAAAATGGGTGATAAATTAAAAATTAATATTACCTAACCTTGTTACTAGAAACCCTTGCCCTCATCCAAAAATGAGGGCAAGTATCCCTACTGTAGAACTCTCTTAGCCTGTGATATAAAAACATTAGAATCATTTGTTCACCAAGTAAATATTTGGTTAAGATTTGATTTCCCAGCGCACATATATGTTTGGCTCCTCTGCCAATTATATTTCTTACTGCAAATTAATGTGCTGGTGTCTGTTTTTTAACAAACAACTCTGTGATCTGAGAAGGAGATTCACTTTCAGTACACTGACTAGTCAGGCTTTTAAGCCTACAAAAACAAAACTCAGCCCCTGAGACGGGGTGATCATTAAAGCCACCTAGAGCAGGCCTGTCTGGGTGTTCATCTATTAAAAATCAAGACAGAGAATTAACAGATTTCATGAAAACAGTGCACATGTGAGTACTTTGCAAACTGTACAGTAATATTAAGTGTTGGCTTTTAATGTGTCTATTTGATGAAAGACAATGAATAAAACCACGGATATATTTAAAACTTTAGGTTATTAGCTCTTACTTCTTTCACTTCTTCCATGTGCCTTATTGTAAGCACGTCTAAACGTCTGGTAGTAGTCCTCCACCTTTCTTCACTCTGCAGGAATAAGTTCCAGGTAAAACAGAACTGTTCTTCTATAGCAGCAAGTAATAGCTTCTTTCTTGAGATGATGAAGTCTTTCTTCTAACTGAAGGTTTTCCTTGAGAGAAGAAATAAGCACATGTGTGTGTGCATGCACTAAGGATGCAAGAAATCTGATGTATGCATACACCTAGAAGTAGACTCTTTTCAAAGAATAATTGAGTTTTCCTATTAACTGTAATTGTTATATTATAACTACACATTATAACAGTTATATTGTCCTAGGGCCCTGGTGGTGCAGTGGTTGAGGCCCTCAGTTGCTGACCAAGTCAGGTTTCCAAACTCACCCACTGTTCCAAAGAAGATGTATGGCAGTTTGCATCTCTAACGTAACCCCAGGGGGAAGTTCTACTCTGTCCTGTAGGGTTGCTACGAGGGATTTGGTTTTGGTAGTTCAGTTCTCTCTCTCTCTCCCTCTCTTTCTCTCTGTCTGCTTGTCTGGCATCAAGTCGATGCTGATTCATAGTGACCCTGTTGGACAGGGTAGAACTGCCCCTGGGAGTTTCCTCAAGGGAGTAGAAAGTCCTGTCTTTCACCCTTGCAGAGGCTGGTGGTTTCAAACTGTTGACCTTTCAAATCACAGCCCAACGTGTAACCACTACACCACCTCAGTTATAACAGGCATTTAAAGGAAAGAGCTGACAATACCAAAAAATGAAAGCTTTGAGCAGTTGGATATCTTCTGAAAATAAGAAATGAAGACATGATATCCATAATGTGAATTATATATGGTAAAGTATTGTAAAAACAAAAAACACACACGCTTTTCGGTCTGGTTCTGAAGTTTAAAACTTAATAATTTGAATGAAGGCCCTTTGCAATGATAATATGCTAGCCAAAGAAGCCTTTGTTCCTCCTAATAAACGTTAGTAAAAGAGGACTCCTTTTGGAACTGGAGTCTTCACTTATCATTGAGCAAGGATATTTTACTCACAGAATCTATCGTATTTGTTGAATTCTAAGCCATTGAGTTCTCTCATAAATCTTGACCTAAGTCTGCCATCAATTCATATTTTTTTCAGTTGAAAATAATCATGCTACGTAACAAACTGCACTACAACAGTGAATAAAAGATAAATACTTGTTTACTGATGAAGTGATAATATTATAAAGTGATTATACTGATGAAGTGTTATCAAAATCACTACGAATAGGAATTGATGTCAAAACCAAACAGATACGCAAGAGAATCTTACACAATCTGTAATGGTATGTATAATTACTAGTGTATTGCTGATAGTCCATAGAATTATATTCAATTTTATTTTTTTAACACAAAACCTTATTTTTACTGTTTTCTTCTTTGATTTACTGAGTAACGCAGAGTCTTAACATTATTCACATGAAATCTGGAATTTTAATAATAAGCACATTGAAAGAAAATTGACCTAGGTCTGAGTTCTTACTCCCCTAAGGAGCCTCCCCATAACTCACAGCTAAAAATGTCATCATTCTCCCTTATCATCTGGTCCCTACTCATATCTTCCTTCTTCCCTCAGGATCTCTGAACATAACAAAGTTCGTTCTAGTTTTAGTATTGGGGTACCAGAGAGCCCGAGACAATTGGGGAAAGAAAGATCCCATGAAATCTTCATAGCAAACTGGACAAGTGTTCCAAGGAGAACACAGAGAAAAGCAGGACACAAGCGTTGGTGCTATACACACACACACACACACACACACACACACACACACACACACACACACACGGAAATAACCCAGAAGCAAAACCACCAGGAGGTTCAAAGCAGTTCTGATAAATTGGTGAGATTTTGAGTGAGGATTAGAAAATTAATGTTCGCATTGTTACGAGACCTGAAACGTGGGTTGTGTGCTGGGGGGAACAACAATGTAATTCTAATATAGGGGTGAAGTGGGAGAGCGAGGGTAGAGAAAGTGACACAGGAAAACAGATGGGGCAGATTAACGACATCTTTGGGTCCTTTGCATCTGGGAGATGGAAATAGAGAAGAAGCTCGGATGTAGGCAGAGGGGCTTGTTGGTGACGAGGACAGAGTAGGTTTCGGATAAATATCCAAGTGCATGATTCATCCAGTCTCTTTGATTTAACCACCCTCCTCCTAAAGCCAGTGATTATCAATTCCACTCCAGGTATCTACTGCTATGGCTACACCAGAGCCCTTGTTCTCACCTGAACTCCTGTGGGAACTCTGCAATCTTGACTCCAATTCTTACTCTTGATACTGCTGTGTACATTTCCTGCTCCCTGAAATTTGGCCAAGGAGAAGCATCCTTGAGCTCTCCTTAATCCTTACTTACTCTACACTAAGAATAAGTACTTCAGTCGCTGGACCACTAGATCCCCTTTCAAACTATCAGCTACTCTTCTGACTTCACTCATTTCCTTCTCAGAACAGATACGACATGCATCATTTCAAACCATCGCTTACCAATGTCCTCAAATATCTTGTCCCTGTTCCACTTTCCTCATAAACTCCAGCCCTGAATAACGTCAAACACGTGACTATTCTCTGCCGGCTCTAGGTTGCTGCGTCCTGGTGGAGAAACATCAAACAAACACGCAGGCAGGAGCCACTACAAATTCATGGTCTTCAGCCTGAGTCGTGCTTTCTCTGCTGATACTTTATACATTCGTTGCCAACTTCTGCTGGCCTTCCCTTAGCACTGAGTCTAAACTTTCAGCTCTAAGAATTTAAATCTCACTTTTCTCATTCTTGGCAGATGAATTTGTCTCCAACAGCACTAGGTAAAATGAAGGTCATCATAAAATTGTCACCAACACATTAACCTTCATCTTCAGACATCTCTTCTTAGTGAGAGAGATGGCACCCTCCTGATCAAGGTTAATTCATTTATCTGTGTTCCACATATTGCTTCCTTGGGGAACTTGTTCTCTTTCCTTTCTCTTTGCTCATTCCTTCCCTCTCTACTGATGTCTTGCCCTTAGCTCGAGATATCTCTCGTCTTACCAGCAAAGACGCAGAAACAACCCTTCTTTGACCCCACTACATCCCTCTCAAACTATTGTCCTCTTTTCAGTTTGCATCAAATCACTGCATTTTAGCCTCTGCTCTTAGCATTACAGAGACATTGTCTACCCTCAAAATGCCAATTTCCAACTGGGCATATTTTCTATTCTTTTTACATATGCTCTCGCTGAGGTATATTTATTCTTTTCTTGAAATGTCTTCTCTTGTCTGTTCTCTGGTATCACAGGCTGCTTTCTTACTTCTAGATACAGCCATGTCACTTAACTTTGATCCAAAGAATGCGCATGCCAGTTCTAGGAAGTGTTCTTGAAAGAACAGGATGCTCCCTTCCCCCTTCCTCCCTGAGAACTAACTTTGGACAAGATTGCTGAAGCATGAACAACTGTCATGGGCACCATGAGGTGGAAGCCGGCTACCTTGGAGGATAACATAAGAGGAATATGGGTCTCTGACAATTTTAAGATGATGCCACAGCAGTTCTGGATTGCTTTCTACAGAGGTTTGTTTTTTTCTCCCCCAAAGCCATTTTATTGGGAGTTAATACAGATATCATATCATTTCATAATTCAATCACACCAAACACTATCATACAATTGCTACCATGATCAGTTGCAAGACATTCTTTTCCTTCTTGAACTCCTTGACATCAGCTCCCTTTGGCCTCCCACCACCACCACCACCACTACTGTATCCCCAAGAAATCCTTATTCTACTTGATGTCCCTGTAGGTTCATTGTAGCTATCTGTCGCAGACAACCAATTACAACTCTACAGGACAGTTACTGAAAAGGCATATTTTAGAAACTAAACAGGCAATGTAGCAATTAGATACAGGGTAGCCATTAAAAGTCTCTCTTGAGCCACGGGGTTTCTATCTCTGAGTTTCCCTCAAATTCTTCTCCATTTATTTGAGAAATAAATCCTCTGAGAGGATGGACTTTCTTTGTTTGCTTCATTAGCAGGCTGAAAATAGCCATTTGTATCCTAAACTCAAGAGTAAGCCATTTCACTCTCTTTACTTCTAAGTTCAAATTGTTGAGAGGCAATTCGTTGTTACTGACTTAGTGAATTGTACCCCCTCTCTGAAGTTAGTTGTTTATTTATCATTCAGTTAGTTTAGACTGGAGTGGGTTGGAGGCAGGGTATCTGCCTACTCTTAAGCAAGGATCAATAGACAGAAGTGAGATCTGAAGATGTTGGTGTAAGATAGAAGGGAGATAATCCATTATCATTTAATTCTATTTTTCCATGGACTTTTTGAAGCCCTTTCATATATAATCACCTGCTGAGAAACTAATTCAGCTTAAAATATCCATTTATCGTCCTTAAAAATAATTTTCCATGAACTTTCTGAAGTGTTATATGTATGGATGAGGATCCCTGGTGGCACAGTGATTATTTGTTAGGCAGCAAACCACAAGGTTAGCAGTTCAAAACCACCAGCAGCTCCAAAGAAAACAGACCAGGTTTTCTACTCCCATAAAAAGCTAGTCTTGGAAATCTATAGGGGCAGTTCAAACCTGTCCTTACAGGGTCACTGTGAGTCAGAATTGACTCAGTGACAGTACATTTAGCTTTTCTCTTACACTTGCTCTTTAGCTTCCCAAGCCAGAAGCCTGGGAGTCATCCTTGGCCTCTCCTTATTCACCCTACTCCCAAACTACTAATACGAATTTGTCGATATTATCTCTTTATCATTTTCTCATTTAATTTGTCCACATGTAGGGTCACTGCCTAAGTTTAGGTGCTCCTCACTTCTTGGCCAGTTAGTGTAATCGCATGTTTAACTGATTTCCCTGCTGCCAGGCTGGCCCTCATCCAATCAGTGCTCCACAAAGCTGCCAGACTCATCCTTATGAAATCAAATCACTTACTGTTTAACATGCCCATTGCTTTCAGGGTTCTCTTTGACATCAGACCTTCATGCAAGCATGCTTTTGAGTCCCATCATGCTGCACATATTCTGTAACTTTGAATATTTAGCTCCCTCCACCTGGAGCGATGTGATGACATTCCAGAACCATCATTTTTACGGCAGATTTGAGTAACTTGAAAATTCTAAAAAGGTGTATCTTGAGGCAATAGAAACCCATGCTTTGAATTACAAACACCCCAGCATTTAAACTGCCCACACAACAAAGTACATGAGACTATTATTCTCGCTTTCCTAATGCTCATTAAGTAATCGAGTCTTTAAAAAAAAAATCCACTACTTGGGAATAAATGCACCCTGTACCCTGTGAGCCTCCAACATTTTCTAGCTATAAAGAATGATGTGGCAAAGCTGTCAGTGCAAACCGAGGCAGAGATAAAGAAACTCGAACAGAAAGGGGGCAAAGAAAACAGGTGCAGAGTCATTTCTATTTATTCCTTTATCAACTGGGCTTGATTCAGCCAATGAGGTCAACCAGTACCTTCGACCACGCCTCCCCAGCCTGAGGTTTAAATACCTTGGCGGAACAATGACCTCTTTTTTCACCCTTCGACTCCTCTGCCTTCTGCCCTTGACCCTGCTCCTGCACCTACCATTTCCCCGAAAATAAGACAGTGTCTTATATTAATTTTTGCTCCCAAAGATGTGCTAGGTCTTATTTTCAGGGGATGTCTTATTTTTCCATTAAGAAGAATACGGTACACATTTATTGTTTATTGTTTTATTAAAAGAGACCTCGCACTTCCTGTCTGCTCTGGCTGCGCTGCGGCCAACAGTGAGCATGATGGTGCTCACCTCTACAGTTCAGAGTCCAGAGTTACGGTAGCTTCGGGGGGGCTTATTTTGGGGGAATGCCAAATATATTCAGCGAGAGGCAAAACTGTAAGTAGGTCTTATTTTCGGGGGATGTCTTACTTTCGGGGAAACATGGCACCAAGGTTTTTACAGTCCTTTATAAAAACCCACTTGGATCACAAACCAGGCTTCGGTGTGAATTCTTTCTTGTGCAAAGCCAAGAACTGAGGTATTTCTACCGGAGAAATCTAACAGAACCACACCTCACATCTCATGACTCTGAGCAGAGGCTGAGCCTTGGACCCCAGAGTTAAGGTATTTAGGGGACAAACGCAGCTAGACTACAATTATCTTCTGAGGTGGCCTTTCACCCTAGCACTCCTCTTTCTCCTACACAAATATAACTTTAAAACTCACAGCGATCTTGAAATACATGTTTTACACCAACTGTTTACCTGTTCAATTCCCCAATCAGGTGAGAAAAATTATTTGTAAACATGCAAACAAAAAGAAGAAATGTGGGGACTATTTAAAATATATAATTTAGTGAAAAAGGAAGACAAAAATATAAGTAAATTTTAACTCTGAAATGCACATGTGTGTATGGAATGACACAGAGCAAATAAAAAAGGAACAGCTTCTCCCCTTCAGCATGATTGACATCTTGGCCAGGATAGTTCTTTGTTGTGGGGAACTGTCCTATGTATTTCAGGATATCTAGTGGCATCCTGACCTCTACCAACTAGACAGATGGCACTACCACCTTGCAAAGTGTCTCCATACATCACCACAGGGAACTACCACCTTCGGCTCCCATTTTAGACCCACTGTATTAGGGTAATAGGAAACATTTTTTGATGCCAACATTGTTACAGTGATGTTTGCTAAGTAAAAACAACTAGGAGGGGAAAGGGCAACTTCTTAAAAGAAAGCGTCTGACGGCCTCTTCCTTTTTTTCAAGAGTTCATATTTATTGTTCCCATTTAATGGCTTCAATTGGTCTCCCCAAATCAAGATATCCAAATTGTGCTAGCTTCAAAATTACCGGTTAAAAATGTACACTTGGTTTATCCTCAAAATACACTGAAGATTTGGTAGGGAACACATACTTTTCCAACCTAGTGTCTAAAATTGCACTGTTTGTAAATTAATCTTACTCTGTACCTACAGCTCTCAGATGCAATCTTCCTAGCACTGTTGAGCTTGCTCCCTCCTCCAAAATGTTTCTTTTCAGGAACTCCTACCTGTTGCCTTTGTTTCTTGGCTCATGTCACCAAGAACGTTTCAGATTCAAAAGTGACATGCGGAGGAATTGTTTCAAGCATCTCCAGAAAATTCTATCACATCGCAGGTTAATCTGGCTTACAACTGAAATTCTCTGTAACATCATCATTTTAAATGATCTTTTTCAAATGCATGAACACAGCACTAAAATTTATGCCCAGCATTTTTAATCACCCATTTTAAAGAAAGCATCCTTCGGTTGTTTAAATACCTCCGAAATGGGCTGGGAAAAGGCCATCCCCAGGGCTGGAGAATGTAACAAGAAAGCAGATGACAGGGGAAGGAACAAGAGGGCGTTCAGTCATGTGCAGCGTGCACAAGGAAGGTGCAAAGGGCAGAGGCATGAGGCGGCCGAGGAAACTGGCGCTCGGGATGATGAGAGAAACGAATGAGGCTGTGGTGTGAAAGGCAGAAGGGAACTGACTTGATGGCGTCTGGCGCTGCAGATACCAAAGGCCTCCACAACGTCATCAGGCAGCCGAGGTTCTGCATGACGGACGTCGACCACAGAAGGCCCGCAGCAGGAGGAACGCGTGCCTCGGTGGACTCTGCTGCAGTGGCCTGCACTTCCAGCGGCAGCCGTCTGTCCGGGGGGAGTCTCAGGGCAAATTAACGCCCTCGCTAGTATGGGCACTGTGCGGCCGCTCTAAACAGGAGCGGCGACCTAAATTCACCACGGCAGTTGGGTACGGGGACGTGGGCGAGAATCACTCCGGCCCGGGGTCCAGCCAGGACGGGTTCTCCCGGAGCTGCAGGCCACACGGGGGAGAGAGGTGGACGATCTGGAATGCTGACGCCGAGGGGGACAGGTGCTATCTTCCTCGAGGCTGAAGCGGGCGCCTCAGAAACCGGGCCGGGAATCTTCTTTCGAAGTCTCCTGCGCCGCGAGGGTCCCCGGCCGCTCCCCTCTAGCGCGGCGGCGCGGCGAGCAGCAGGTGCCGGACCAGCCCAGGCGTCGGACCAGCCCAGGCGTCCTAGCAACCGCTCCCGGCGCCGGAGAGCGCGGCTCGCCTTTCCGTCCGGGGCCGTCGAGACGTCGCACGCCATTGGCTGTAGAGTTTGGTCTTCCAAGGGAGTACCTTGTTACAGTGCTTACCATTGGCCTTTGCGGCATGGGGCGGAGCTCTTCCGGCAGAAAGTATAGTACGGACTATTCCATTGGCTTTAGAGACCAGGGGGGGGGAATCCCCCCGGAAGTAGTAACCATGGCAACGATAGGGCGCGCAGAAAGACACTCGAAACACAAAACAATTTACTGTCAATTCCCAGTCAATTCTAACTTATAACGAGCCTACAAGGAGAGACTTGAACTGCCCTGTGAGTTTCGGAGAGACTAATTCTTTACGGGAGTAGAAAGCCTCATCTTTCTCCCAAGGAGTGGCTGCTAGGTTCAAATCATCTTGTGGTTTCGTTTGCAGCGCTATTTGTAACTCTGCGGATAAGGAATTTTTGGTTTGTTCTTTTTGTCACGGGGCATCATAGTTCTCAGTTTCTTACCTACAGCCCCTTCCTACTACCCTTGCATTTATTTTTCTAGACAATTTCTTTCTAGAAAAAGTAACACATTTTGTGAGGCTGCTAGATCAGCAATTTTGAATTTTAGACCTAGATATGTCACTATCTACTTGGGACACCTTTTGCACAAGATTTGTTTGTAAATAAATAAAAAAAATAAAAAGTAAGTAAATTCTCCTTAGTAGAATTGTCCCTAAGGCTGATTGATGGTCTTTAGAGGTTCCAAGCATTGCAAATTCGGTTGTGATGAACCATGTCCCCTGCCTCTTGCCCATCCAATGCAAAACAAAACATCAAAACAACGAAAAGACACAAAATCCAAACAAATTGGTAACATTTTCACCTACTTCTTATTACAAGATTCTAGGTTTATGAAGGCTCAATTTTGCTTCTGTATTGGAGGTCCTGTAACTCACTAAACACACTACCCTAGAGTCGGTGCTGACCCGTAGTGACCCTTTAGGGCAAGTGCTTCTATGGGTTTCCAAGACTGTAACTCTTTATGGGTGTAGAAAACCACATCTTTCTCCACAGAGAAGTTGGTGGTTTTGCACTGCAGACCTTGTGGACCACAGCCCAGTGCATAACCACTACACCACCAGGGCTTCTTGGAGGTCCTGTCTTAGAGCTTAAATTCTGAGTACTAGGTTTGTCGTGGGCGACAGACAACATCAGATAAGATGGATTATGCTATCAGGATTGGAGGAAGGCTTATTAACAACCTATGATATGAAGATAACACCACCTTGCATGCTGAAAGTGAGTAAGACTTGAAGTACTTGATGAAGATCAAGGATTGCAGTCTTTAGTATGGATTACAACTCAATATGAAGAAGACCAAAATACAACTGGACCAATAGGTAGCATCACAATAAATGGAGAAAAGAATGAAGTCAAGGATTTTGGATCCACATGAGGAACACAGTCAAAAGATGCATTGCATTGGGTAAACCTGCTGCAAAAGACTTCTTTAGAGTATTGAAAAGCAGGGATGTTTCTTTGAGGACTTTGGTATGCCTGACCCAAGCCATGGTGTTTTCATTGGCCTCATATGCATGTGAACAAGGAACACTGAAGAAGTGTGGGAGTCTGCACATGTGGGAGTCTGCACATGTGGAAGTCTGCACGTCCCTCAGCCATGGCCTGCGCCGTCCACTGTCTTTTAAGCTTCCCATTCCCGGATATTCCCTGGCCTATTGTCCTGCCTGAGTTTGGCCTTTGTGATGATTGGTGCTTGGTGGCAGGCAGCCACCATGCTCATTGGACACCTCCGCCAGG